GTTCTCACACAGACATGTTCTCACACAGACACATTCTCACACAGACACGTTCTCACACAGACACGTTCTCACACAGACACGTTCTCACACTGACATCTCACACAGACATTCTCACACTGACATCTCACACAAACGTTCTCACACAGACACATCACACAGACAGCTTCTCACACAGACACATCACACAGACAGCTTCTCACACAGACACATTGTCACACGGACAGCTTCTCACACAGACAGATTCTCACATATACATGTTGTCTCACAGACACGTTCTCTCACAGACATGTTCTTACACAGACAGCTTCTCACACAGGCAGGTTCTCACAGACACATTCTCACACAGACTTGTTGTCACACAGACTCGTTCTCACACAGCTTCTCACAGACATCTTCTCACACAGACATGTTCTCACACTGACGTTCTCACACAGACAGGTTCTCACATAGACATGTTGTCACACAGACACGTTCTCACACAGACACATCCTCACACAGACATATTCTCACACAGACACGTCACACAGACAGCTTCTCGCACAGACACGTTCTCACACAGACGTTCTCACACAGACAGCTCTGCAGTTCTGAGGATGCTTCACATCATTCAGGTCAACAAAGGTCAAACAGTCCTTAAAGTGATGAATATCACACATTACTTATGGTAAAGATTGACTGAAACGATCCATCATCCATCCATCCATCCATCCATCCATCCATCCATCCATCCATGATCTCTTTATTTATATCTTTTATTACTTGTACATTAATGGGGCATGAACAGAAACATGCACACTTATATGAAAATGACTGGCTGGGTGTTGGGAGGAGTGCTGTATTACTTTCTGTGGAGGTTTGTGCATGCCTGCACTGCCTCAGTTTAAAAAAAGTTTAGTTTAAAACAAATACCAGGAGGGAGCATTACATGTGTCTTTGTTTTTAACTAAACTTTTAACTTTAGGCTAAACTGGGGCAGCACAAGCCTGCACAGTAGATCTGCACATGGATCCAGCTCCTTCCTGTCTGTTGACCAATAGGAGAGGAGATGACACAAGAAGCTTTGCCCACCTTATTTACATGAGGCAGAAATGGATACATAAACAGGACACGTTGTAAAAGCAACACATGGGAATAAAGACTGAGTAAAAAAGTATAAAAGTAAAAAAAATAAGTAAAAAAGTATAAAAAATAAATATAACAATTCAAGAGACACAAATGCATAAAGTAAAAGAAAAAATTAAAACAAATATTTTTAAAAACAGTAAAATTTAARTTATGTGCTATAATATATTTACTATAAATGTGACATGGGAGAACTATAGAGAATGACGGTGATGTCAGAGCAGTGGCAGATCTAGGATTTTTCTAAGTAAGGGGCCATCAAGGGGCCACAATATTCATAAAGAGGCCAAGTATTTGTTCAGCATCCTTTCATTTAAATCCCTGGTTTTGGTAAGATGTATACAATTTACCAGTAATATGCTCAAATACTCGTAACGTTATGTAATTAAAAAAAGCTTGAACAGTAAATTATCCTTAGCAATTTTACATGTATTTTTACTGTGCATAGATAAAATGCTGTCAAACACACAGCTTATGAGARAATGCAGCCGTCATTTGTCAGATGAAAGAGTTTTTCTGCAGGATTGTTCAGATTTTTTTTAACAAGAGAAGAATTCTGTAAGATTGATTCATGCTGGACTTTCCTATTTGACTCATTAGCGCCCCTAGTTTTTGAACATGGAACTGCATCCACCATCACCAATCTCAGGCAAAGGACAGATGAGTGACAGGACAGGGGCACTTCAGGGGGCCAATCAGATTTCAGCTGGGGCCAATACCCCTGTGGCCCCGCCCCTAGAACCACCCCTGTGTCAGAGCAACACCTGAAGAGTTTTTCCTGAGATGTACAGAAAACAGCTGTTTGTGTCAGGTCAGCTTTGTTCAGTATCACATCAGGACCGATGCATTCAGACCTCCTGACATTAGAAGCAGTAATCTTTAGCTTCAAGTTGGTTCAAAGGATTCAGAAGGACTTTATGTGATTATAAATATTTTATAACAAAACATAAAGCACAGAATTTCTCAAATCTAACAAAAACAGCATAATTTTTCAAATAATATTTTTAAAGCAAATGAACAAAAGGAATCCAGCTTCTGACAAGATTCTGTAGCAGTGATTCGATGTATCTGCTCCTCTTTCTTCAGCTTTTCACCATTTTGTTCTTGGTGCTGTTAGAAAGAGTGAGACCAGATCTTCTACACGAGATGATTCTGTCCTCTCATCATGCCAAAGCTCTGGGTTTCAGACACCAAAAGTCATAAAAGTTTAAAAGAATTTTCTGATTCAGGTAGAAACTGAGTTTGTTCTCTGAGTTTTCATCTGTTCATTTTCAGTTATGTGTTCCTCCACATAATGTTCATGTCTCTGTTGTGAGAATAGAATAGACCATTTTGTAGTTAGGAAATTCAATTCAATTCAATTCAATTTAGTTTATTTATATAGCACCAAGTCACAATAACTGTTGTCTCAGGGCACTGTACATGAAAAAAMAAACAATAAATCTAAAGAAGCCAGCAGACTGCGCCAAATCTTTGCTTCGTCACAGTCTCCCACCCTGAGCAGCACAGGCAGCAGTGGAGAGGAAAAACTCCCTGTTAACAGGAAGAAACCTCCAGCAGAACCAGGCTCAGGACAGGAGACCATCTGCCTCGACCGGCTGGTTGGAGGACAGGAAAGAGACACAGGTAAACACAGAAGAACTGGTCCAGGACTGGTCCAGT